ATGTCAACATGAATATGAATCCCTTTGAACTCGCACTAGCTGCTAGAGTTAAAGAATCTCCAGAACATTATAAAGATGTTCTCAAGCTTTCTCTGGACTTACAAAAGAAATGGTTTGAAGCTATGAAGGATGAATTAAAATCAATTGAAGAAAGAAACATATGGACTCTAATGGATCCAAATCTGAATCACAAACCAGTCAAGTGTCAATGGGTTTTCACTATCAAAAGCAATGGTTGTTACAAAGCATGTCTTGTGGCAAAAGGCTTCACACAAGAATTTAGAACCAATTTTGAAGATACCTTCTTTCCAGTTGCTCACTTTGAGACAGTGTGAATCATACTTGCTTTTGCTGCTCAGAAAAATTGGGAAATGGAAGCACTGGATGTTAAAACTGCTTTCCCATATGGCAGTTTAGATGAAGAAATATATATGGAAGAACTGGAAGGCTTCAAAATAAAGGGTCAAGAACACAAGGTTTATTGGTTGCTTTGAGCCTTATATGGCTTAAAGCAAGCAACTCCTGCATGGAACAAAGCCCTGCATCAATCCTTACTTTGCATGGGCTATATTCACTCAAAAGTGGATGCTGGAATATATATTTATAGTTCCAAAGCTGGCACAGTCATTTTCCTTGTCTATGTTGATGATGGATTATTCCTTGGATCAGACAAACATCTTCTTAAAGCCAAGAAAGATGAGTTTATGAAGAAATGGGAATCCCATGACTTAGGAGAAGTCAAAGAATATCTCAGAATTCAAATTCATTGAGATCAATCAAAGAAAGACATCTACCTCAATCAAACTCCCTATGTCAAAAAAGTAATGAAAAGGTTCAACATGGAGACTGCTCAAAACATTCACACTCCACTACCTTTGGGATACCAACCTGAAAAGGCTCCTTCCAACTATCAGGCAACATCCCAACTTTGCTCTCAGTACCAATCAATTATAGGGTCATTAATTTATATGGCTCTTGGTACTTGTCCAGACATAGCTTTTGCAGTCATTCACATGAGCCAATATATGTTGAATCCTACAGAGGATCATTGAAACAAAGTGCTGCACATAGTTCACTATGTTGCATCTACACTGAATCTAGCACTTTATTATTCTGGATTTGAACTGCAAATCTTTGGATCTGCTGATTCTGATTGGGCCTCAAATAAAGACACTTGTCACTCTACTACTGGATATGCCATGTTTCTTGGCACTTCCTTGATTTCCTGGCAGTCAAGAAAACAGAACACTCTCTTCCACTGAAGCTGAATATATGGCTTTATGTGATGCTGCTTGTCAAATCAAATGGTTCCACATGCTATTTGATGAATTAAAAATCAAATTGGACAAGACTATTTTATACTGTGACAATATGGGTGCTTGCTTTATAGCTGAGAATCCAGTCTCAGACGGCCAGTCAAAACACATTGATGTCCAGTGGCACTTCATTTGCGAATGTGTACAAGATGGACTCTTTGGTGTTGAATATATTAAAACCAATCATCAAAAGGCTGATGGTCTTACCAAATCACTCATTGATGGGACTTGTTACTCTCCCATTCTAGAGTGAGGGGGAGTGTTGGAAATATCCTATTAGTTCCAATATCTAGACACATCTAGATTTACACATTTCATACAACATGTATCATCACATGACTTGCTCAGTCATTCAGCTCCACAATGATGTCATGTTCCATGACATTCTCTGCTATTCTTTACTATACATAGTAGTAGTTTCCTTATGCACTACTGGTCCATGTGTAGCTACACATGTATATAAACTTGGGGATTTCTACCTTACTCCCTATTGAGCTATCAAACAATTAAACAATCTACTGTGCTTTCTTACTCAAGCCCCAGCTCAACTCAGAACTACTTCCTCAAAAACTACTGCCTCAACTAGTCTATAAGGCAAGTGTTCATCTTATTGCTCTCATTCCCTTCCCATCCTCTGTGCAATACCTGGGACATGTGTCATTGTTGTTCAACCAATGGCAAAGTTAGCTTGTTACATGCAGATGTCTCATGGTCCATTTCTTTGTAGTATTTAGACTGGTGGTTCAAGTCCTGGAAACCCAGACTTGAGCTGCTCACTTATATGCAGCATTCTCTCAGAACTTTGCCCTCAGTGTACCACTATGAACCCCCAAAACAACTGACATTGGGTGCCATTGTGACCCACACAAGAAGAATTATTGTCTGATGAAGAACAGGAGAGCACTGTCACAGACACCTCCTCCAATGAACCAGAACAACCAGATAGAGGCTTTACCTCTTGTATCCCCTCAAACCTCTCCACCCAGTCCCTATCTTCACTCAGTACACCCATCTGACCTGTACCTGCCCCTGTCTCAACTCCTGCACTCCCATCCCCACCTCATCATCGAAGGCCATGACTGGCACTACTGCTGTCAAGGCCACTGAATTGAAGATTGGTGCTCCATCTGATCTTGACAGTGACCAAAAGAATGCCATGAGCTGGCTGTTTTCAGTCCAGACCTATCTCATGGTCAATGAAGAAGTCTATGACACTGACACCAAGCAGGTCATCTACACATTGTCATATATGAAGAAGGGAGTTGCATGCTCTTGGGCAGAAACCTTCCAGAAAACTTCCCTTGAAAAGACTCCCCTGAGTTTTGGGAAGTTCACTGACTTTGTCACTGCCTTCAAGGCATCCTTTGCCTCCCCTAATTCTGCAGGTGTTGCAATCACAAAATTACACACCCTTAAACAGAGAGATTCAGTTGAACAATACATCACTGACTTCTGCACCACTGTCACTGATTCAACCATCACCCAAGATGTAACCCTGATTGAGTTCTTCTCTCAGGGACTGAAGTTGTTCATTGTGAACTGCATCTACATGATGGAAACCACTCCTACTACAGTGAGGGACAAAAGCATTGCAATGTTTGTAAGGTGTGATGTGCTGCCAATGTAGCTTGGGCTATTCTGCACAGATAATCATGATACCTATACCATTGGAAAGGGGTGACTCTAAGCTTTTCAGATCACTAAGGCTCAGTCCAAACAAAGCAATATGTGCTGAGATACACCCTATTCTTTCCAAATGGTGCATTGCAATGCTTTTGTCCCTGACTGGTGAACTAGTGAAAAGTGACCTTTTGATGGGATTGAGGGCATGAAGGATGGGAAAATATGATTACATAATAAACCACATGATCATCCAGATGATTTGTCAGCATGTAAACAATGACAAACATTAGACTTGTACCATTAATCCTCCCTCTTTTACCACAATTCATGAAATCATCTCTCTAGCTCACATGGTCATTTTCTCAAGGAATTCTTATCAAATACTGGTGGCCACCACAGTGCCATCAGTATAACATGCTCTCAGAACCATCAGTGCCTTAAAAAACCTGCTGCCAGTCATTTCCTGGACTGTTTCCCCCCTATGCCTGATGTGTTCTGGGACTGATCAGTACTTGGAAGGCTGAAAATGTTATGGAGGTCAATCTGGCACTTTAGAACATGATGGACAAACCAGTCCCCTCTCAACCAATGCAGTTCTGGCAAAGGAACACTGGTATGGAAGTTGGGGTGAGACAAAACCTCCTTGTGCTCTGAGCACCATAAGGGGGTTCACTAGATCTTGCTCTGATCTGAACTGTAGATGACTGGGGAAGGATTATTTGGTCATATGTGACCAAAGGCAATATTCAGGGCCAGATGGAAGCACAGGATTCTGCTCCATGGCAATTCAGTAGCATATCCTTCTGATGACACCCAGGGGTAAAGCAGATTTTGTCTTGCCCTAACTTCCATACCACTGTCCCTGTGCCAGAAATGCATTGGTTGAGAGGGGACTAGTTTGTCCATCATGTTATGAAGTGCCAGATTGACCTCCAAAACATTCTCAGCCTTCCAAGTACTGATTAGTCCCAGAACACATCAGGCATGAGGGGAGCAACAGTCCAGGAAATGACTGGCAGCAGGTTTTTTAAGGCACTGATGGTTCTGAGAGCATGTTATACTGATGGCACTGTGGTGGCCACCAGTATTTGATAAGAATTCCTTGAGAAAATGACCATGTGAGCTAGAGAGATGATTTCATGAATTGTGGTAAAAGAGGGAGGATTAATGGTACAAGTCTAATGTTTGTCATTGTTTACATGCTGACAAATCATCTGGATGATCATGTGGTTTATTATGTAATCATATTTTCCCATCCTTCATGCCCTCAATCCCATCAAAAGGTCACTTTTCACTAGTTCACCAGTCAGGGACAAAAGCATTGCAATGCACCATTTGGAAAGAATAGGGTGTATCTCAGCTTGTATTGCTTTGTTTTGGCTGAATCTTAGTGCTCTGGAAGGCTTAGAGACACCCCTTTCCAATGGTATAGGTATCATGATTTTCTGTGCAGAATATCCCAAGCTACATTGGCAGCAAGTCACACCTCACAAACATTGCAACACTTTTGTCCCTCACTGTATTCCATAGGGAATGCCCCTGTACTGTATATAAATCACTGTGCTTAGATAGCTGAAAAAAGAAGAAGACATCAGAGAGCCCCTCTTGCTTGCATTTTATCATCTCTCAGCAAATCATTCATCAGCTTTGATAGTTGGGACTTTATTAAGGGTTTAGCTATTGTCTACTTTGCTTATCATCATCTATCAACAATATACTTCACTCCAAGTCCTCCCTGAGCTCTGAACAGCTCAGAACATCAAATTAAGTCATCATCTATCCTTCTGTAGGCTGACAGCAGCCTACCCCATCACATTCTATCACATTCTTGCTCCCTCTTTGTCAGGAGCACCCCTAACCCTCAGCACTCATCTTTGAGTGTTGTAGCTCACAAAAACCTGCCCAAACAAGAGCCTCCACCATCTAGGTACTGCTTAGGCACACCACCACTTGCTCTTATTGTCTTTTGTGTGGTTTTGGTTGGTTTACACCACTGAACCACACTTTGACTCACACTGCCCTCAAGGAAGCTGTCATACAATCCTAATATACTGGCACCTATCAAATTGCAGATAACCATCCTGAGTCCTTCAGCAATTCAGTTCCCCTGTCCTGTTGGGGAACTGAATCCAACTCCATGCTGCTGATGTTGGCATCTGCTTTATCACTGGGCTCTGCCAGCTTGATGCTAAGACCTCAGCAGACCAGGTCCTGTTGATCAGCATCTTCACACCTGAGTTCCTCCACATTGAGAATGACAAGTCCCTCTTCAACTATCCTGGCAAGGTCAGAGTGGATCATGGGTACCAGTGACAAAGCCCATGTACCTCAGAGTGTGATTTCTTTGAAGTCTTGGGTGCCAATGAGAAAAAGGCATAAACAACACCTCTGTCCCATTAATTAGTACACATTCTGATGGCTACTGGTAGCATGCATGTACATACCACAAAGGTGAGTTGCATCCAATGTGCTGTGTTCATGTCCATATTTCCCATTGACAAGGATCATGCAACATTGATGATGCTGGACTGCTTCCCAATGGATTTGATGAGCTATAACTGGTTAGATTGTGCTTGAGCCTCAAGTCTGATCATGTTCATACCATTGTTTTCATGTGGCCATGACAGCTAGCCAGAGTTTTTGAAACTAACTTCATGAATTTCTTGTGCAAGCCCATCTCTTCAAAATACAGCTTATCAACCTTGAAGAGGTCCTGATGTTCCTGTATAAAATCCTGTGCAGTGGTATGACAGCAAAAGAAAACAATACATATGATCATACATGCCAATAGGTGCTGGGGAGTGTCCTCAACATAAGCAGTTAAATTTGGTGACAGAAGGCATGCCATGATGCACCATTTGAGTACAAGCTGGAAGTCCTTGGATTTGAGTGTAGCCTTTGCCTTCATTATGTTGGTGTCCTGGGTTTCCATCATTTTCTGCATCAATTTAGCCTGCATAAGGATCAACATCTGAACAATATCTCCAGTCTAAGCAGATGTTAGTAGCAAGTCAACTGTGGAAATAAGGTCTTGCTCTGGGACATGGAACTGTGAAGCAACTTGAGAAGCAAAAGCTGCAATGTGTTACATACATCACAATCTGGAGCCTTCCACTTCCCTGATGAGACTGGTGGATCAATATCAGAGTCTTCAGAAGGTGCACAGGCTGGAACCTTGTTCAAAAATGACTGAGATGGAATGCAGGTTTGACTACAGCCAGCAATGGATTGGCTTCCATGCCATGTCCCAATAACCAGGGATGAGTTCTGTCCACATTGCTTACCAGCATTATTCAAACTGGAGCAAGAAACACCTAAGCTGGATGGCTGAATGCTGCTGTTGCTTGAAGACTTCCCTGATGATGGCACTCAGTGCATTGGGAAACAGGATATCATCCTGCTCAGTTGTGTTGGGGTGAGTGAGTTGCTTGCATGCACCACAAATTTTGCACTTAGCAATTAGTCAGCCAAACAATGTGGTTTGATTGAAGTGCATTAAAATTGGCAACAAAATAAACATCAATTAGTAGGGTTTTGCCTGATCATGCTGGAATTCACTATAGTAATGGCCAGAATAAATGAATGGTGAATAAGTACTTCTCAACTGATAGGCACTATGCTGGTATGGAAGGTTAGTCCAGGCTTTGGGTGATTTCAGATCAGACAAATGCCCATAAATTCTGGGGAAAGCCCTTGTCTTCCCCATCAAGTAAGTGGATTGCATGTGTGCACATGGTGGAAGCTTGCTTGACAGCTGAGGTCAACAACATGTTGATTAATGATGTCAGATAATTGATTGAACCTTGAAGACCAGCCACCATATGGTCTGACACACCAGGCTTTGTTGGAATGGTGGGAATGGGCACTCCTAGCAGAGTCCATGGCCAATGAAAGTTGCATGTGCTTGTTGGGAGTGGAGATGGAAATATCAGATGTGTCAGCAAAAGGGAATGCAGATGTTGCATTGTTGTCACCTTCCATTGTCATATGGGATTGCTTTGTGGAGCTGGATAGTGAAGCAGAGGTGGACATGCTGGATTGTGCATCAGATCTCCTGAAACTGGATGGTGGAATGCTGGGGGGGGGCTGGATCTGTTGGGATGCCACACTGGACTGCACATCAGATGTCCCAAGAATGGGATGTGGAGGGGATGAGGGGGGGGGGGGGGGGGGAAATCATCCCTGGGTAGTGACTTGCACCACTCAGAGACACCCTGGGGAGGTTTGGGTCCATCAGTAGCAGTTGGTTCCAGGGGGGGAGGGGCACTGGTCTCTTGTTGTTCTCCATTGAGTGCAGGCAGGTTTTCAGAGTTGTTGCCTGCAGAACTGGTAGCAATCTGGGAGGTACTTGGAGTAAATGCATTGGTACCATGTGCACCACTGTTAGGGATTATGTCAGCCACAAAGTTGTAGTACTGCCACCCAGACTGTTTGAAGGGACAGATCTGGGGAAAAGTCTATATGAATGAAGATATTTATCAGTTTATCATTGATGAATATGTTGCATGAATAAAATACCTTCACACATTCATCAAATACTTGCTCATCAAATGTGCCCTGTACTCCAGCCCCATGCTTGTTGTCCCAATGATGCCCAGACTTGAGATGATATCCCTCAATATCATGGTAAATCTTCTGAATCTAAAGATCAAGGCAATCAGCATCCTTCAACAATTACAAAGACAATGTTGCTTACATGCAAGACCCACTTATTTTTCACCATATCTCTAGTTTTTGGCAGCCCTTCTGTGAGGAATTCAGATATATGCACAGCAGCAGATGTATACAAAGTGGATTTGAAGTTCCCATTGTCTCCTGCTTCAAAGTGATGGTGATGAAGATATTTAATGAGTGCATCAACTTCTGCATGGTTCCATGAAGCTTTTGGACCAGAGGACTTGGGAGGCATCAGGTGAGAAAGGGTGTCAAGTGTATATTGGGTTGCAAGAGCTACAAGAGATGCAACAGAAACTCAGGTGAGCTGAAGATGGTCCAGATCACAATCATAATAGTTGAGATCCATACCAATTGAGGAGAGGTTGTTTTCAAACAGAGCTTCAATCTGAGTCTGAAATCATTGCACTAATCAACTTTCTTTGTTTGTGTAAGTTTTGCAATTCAAAGGACTTCTGCAGAATTTCTGGTTTTTGAACTGGCTCTAAGGTGCCTAAAGGTCAGAAGGGGGGCATTGCATTGACAAGTGGAGGGGAAGCAGACAATGAACAAACTGGTGGGGGGGTTGCATATCCCATAGTGGATTGTACTGACAACAGAGAACACTGTTCAGATGGCAGAATGGCTGAGTGAGTATGCAAAGTAGACACATTCTGTTTTCCTTTCACATTCCCCATGGATGCTTGGCCTGCCATGTTAATGACAGTACTGAGGTTGTTGGCATTCACAGGGGCAGCATCTTCTCACACCATACTATGTCCCTTCATCAAAGCTGACTTGGCCACTTTACTGGCATTCATCTGTGAGACAGCACTCTTTCAAGCTTCCAGGACATTTGAACATCAGGAAAATTACATTTGATATGTAGCATAGCCACTAAGGTACACTCTCACCCATAGGCTTCATTGTGCTGGGTTGTCTCAGGCACACACTCTGTTGCACTATTGACATGTCATTTTAAGATGGGTAGTACAACACATCTGTCATATCAGGCAGTGGACTGTCATACAACCATCATACTCACCAGCATGGCAGTACAACATATAGCCCTCCAGAGCTACAGTAGTCTATGTAGTCATTCCATATATTGAATCACACATTCATTGACTTGTGGGGTTGCACAACATGATGATAACAAAAAAAAACTACTCCAATGCAATGAACATATCTAAATTGATGTAAGAATTCACATAAAATGCTGCAGCCCTGTCCAGCATGTTGTCCACTGACCAGTCTGCATTGATCTCCTTCCCACATTGTGCTTGCAGGTGGCACATGTGTACAATATGGTTGGCACTGATGATCACCATATTTGGGCAATGATGATGTGTCAAATGAGTGACAATGTACAGACCAGAGGTGGGATCATGGTGGTGGAGTGCTGTAAACCATTCAACCTAGACAAGGGGATGCAGATAGTTTCCAAAGTAATCAGGAAGCTTGGATATGACCTGGACTTGAGCAACTCACACACCTAGGGTTTCCAAGACCTCATCAGTGGAGGGATGCAAACTGGTGTGATATACATACTGTTTGGAACAAGGGGTGTAGAGCATTGACACCCTTCCTCCAACACAAATGCAGTATCAAACCAAACAGAGCATTCTGATTTATGACCTCAACCAATGACCTTTGGCATAGCAACCCAGTGGCACAAGATCTGCTTGAAGATGAATTTTCTGATGGTCTTGTCAGTTTCTGCATGAAGCATAGCCCACTCTGGATAACTAGTGAGTGAACAGTGAGCTTGGGTGATGTAGCAAAATCCATTCAACTTTGGCATTAAGAACATGTCCATATATGCTTTAAAGAATAGGGGCTCAGGGATGGCAATGACTGGCAGAATATGTATGTGATCCAAATGGTGTATTTGGCACTTGTGACATGACTTGATGTACCAGTGGACATCCTGCTCTAGCATAGGCCACCAGAAACAAGTCAGCAAATGCATGCAGGTCAAGTAGATACCCTTGTGTCCTAGCTCATCATGAGCCTGACAAAGGATCCCAAGTCATTTGTGAGGGGTGACTACTAGTTGGTGATGTCCTTGAGGGTCTTTTCTCCACAGCTCTCCTCCTTTGACAAAATACTGAGTGGTGAGACACACCAGGCTTTCCAACTCCCTTTCCTCCAATCCTTCTGGCATCTTCTTTGTCTCCAAAAATTCCTTCACCACTTTCAACCTCTCCTCTCTCTGGATTGCTTTCTCTGAGCATGGAATTTCTGTCTCATAGACACTTGGCAAGGTTTGTTTGGAGGAATAGATGCCTGGACTCTGTGACAAGACCAAAGGTGAGTCTGACAAGGTACTTGGAATTTCCAAAGGGTAAGGCTGAGACTTGAATCAGGCCTCCCTACAGTTCAAGAGCTCAACAGCAAAGGCTCCATGCTCATCTATCCAGTCCTCATAGTCCTCTTCCTCATCCTCATCTTCTTCTGCTTTCAGTCTCCTTGAAAGACCATCCAGTGCCACATGCTTGTGTGCAGGGACATGTACAAGCTTGAAGTCAAATAGAAGAATTCCCACAATCCAGCAGTTGATGGTAGCATTGGGCTGTAAGTTGGGATTGTTAATCATCCCCTTCATTGTGGATGGTGTGATGATCATATCCAACCATAAGATCTAAAATCCCATAGATGGAGTGGCAGGCAAAAGCTTCTGCAATTGAGTCAACAAAGGGGGGAATGGCTGAATCCTGTATAGATATGGCATTCAGAGGTTGTAAGTCATGGACAAGGTGCAGAGATTTTCCATCCTTCTTGACTATGCAGAACCATTTTGAGTGATAGGGTGAAGTAGACAGTTCATAGACACCTGTGGAAATCTTTTCTTTGAATATGCTGACAACATCACAAAAAATGGCTGGAGGTATGGGGATATTCTGCTTGACCCAGGGTTTGTGGGTTAGTGTGGGTATCTTCAGCAGTGGAAACATATCTTCTCAGGAGGTTCCTCTTTCTGTGGCATCCCAAGCAAAGGCAGTCCTGTGTGTCTTGACCAGCCATCATACCAGATTTAACTCCATGGGCAAGAGGAACTTTGAAGGGTCCAGGTCAAGCTCATCAGCCCTTTCCTGGGTGAACCTGGAGCCTGGCACAAATGGAGGAGGATGAGTAGGTAACACAGGTAGGTCTGTGAGAGGATATCCAGCCTCCTGATGCTCTACCCAGAATTCCACAGGCATCGACATCAGTACAGGCCTGACCTTCTTCACTACAGGTTTGTATTTTAAGATGTGAAGAATGGGGTTGAACTGGTAAGTGGAATGTAAGGCTGAAATTGTCAGTGGCAAAACAGTAGTGCTAGTAGAAAATAAGAAGGGGTCATTTGAAGATATGGAACTAGAATCAAACAGGTCAATTGGGGGCATACTGTTGCTTTGTAAATCATAGAGCAATGCTGCAGTGGAATTTTGGGTAGTATCTGTAGAGAAAAGAGAAGCCAGCTTCGAAGGTAACAAGGGAGAATCAGAAATGTAGAGCAAACACATGGAGAAAATATTATCATGGCCTCCTCATGATCTAAACAAGTCATTGACCAACACTAAAAACCCTGCTCAGGTTGTTTCATGTGGTGATGCCTCTCCTTGCATGCAAAGTAGTCTTCTTCATCTTCAGAATTTACAAACTGTGGAAGAGGCTGTAGTCTGTGTTGAGGGCATGTCAGAATTAATACCTGTCTTCCCATGTTAGGGTCATGAATCTCCAGGGACTGTTCTCCATCAGGGAAATCTCATAGGATGCTGGAGAGCAGACAGAAGAAGGGTTGCCCAAGAAGCAGATCAAATGGAGCATGATTGATGACCTGAATTTGGAGGTGCACTTTGATATTCCCTATGCACAAGGATGTGTTCTATATGACCCCTAGAGTACTCTCTTTGGATTGGTTAGTGGCTTCAAGTGTCATGCTCATGTCAGAATGAAGAGGAGTCCCTAAGGCCTCCCATAGTTCACAATGCAAGGCTACCACCTGACAACCACTGTCCAGGATGCATTTGACATGGAGTTTGTCCATTAAGATGCCATCAACAGCACATAAGGGGGCAGTAGCAAGGCCTACACACTTCCCTTCAATGTCTCTGACCCAGAATTGTTCATAGGATGCCCAAGTGGGTGATGCCACAGCTTCTGACACTGTTTCCAAGCTACCAATTGTTATCTTCTTTGTCACAGCCAGTTCTCAGACCTGCTTGTGAATCTCTGGGCTGACAGCAAAGAGGTCTTTGGTAGAGATTTCCATCTTCACTTCTAAGACTTGGTTTATGAGATGTCTGGTAGCAGCCACTTCATTGAAACTGCTCTGGTATTGAAATTGGGGCATGGGAATTGTTGTAGGCTTAGACTTCCTGGGATCTGTGGAATTAGAGACAGCCAGAGCTATACTAATGGCTGGGTTCTCTGTAACATGGACAGGATCATTTGGTACAGAATTAATGACTGGCCTGGGGGTGGTTGATGCATTAGCAGGCACTGGACCTGTCACAGGGCTTTACTGACAGTCAGCCAGAATAACTACACCATTGAAATGAGTGACCTTCTTCTTCTTGATGTTATTTTTCAATTCTTCTACTTGCACATAAGCTCTCACAAGGGCACACTGGTCTTCTTCATTGGCATTACTCTCTAGTTCTTCATTGATTAGGTAGGAGGAGGGATGCAAGTTGACCTGAAACTCTGTGGATTCTTCATTAGTGAAGAACATCATGCTGACAAGATGAGGTGGGGTACCACATCCTAGAGATGAGTTCAATGACTGGCTAGGACATTGTATGGAGATGAGGTTTGCTGAGGTGATGATAGAATCACACATGGCAAGGAAGTTGTTGATCTTTTCTTTAAAGTTCTGGCCAGCAGCTGTCCTAGGAATGTCAGAACAATCAGGCATAAATACTCTTCCCCCTATCAGGGTGCATTTCCCAGCTTGTACATATTCATGACACAGTGCACACTCTGCTGTGTGGTGACCATCAGTGCTTCTGCAGAAGAAACACCATAGATTGAAGGAATGATGGAATTGGCCTTCTTGACCTTGTTGAGGAGGCAGGGCAGAAGCAGGTTGCTGGGAAACTTGGACATACTCACATTTTAAGATAGTGGGGACAGTTGACAAAGAAGGGGGTGCAGAGTTCTGGGGAAACAAAGCCAAAGAGTCAGGCTGAGGGAGACTTCATTTTGCTCAGCTGAGCAGGTAGCTAGCATGCTTGTAGACCAGATCAAACTCCCAAGGCTCATCAA